GACTAACTAGTTGGAAAACTCAATTCCTATCACTAGCAGGGAGAGCTACTCTTATCCAAACCACTCTCAATGCCCTCCCTAACCACATTATGCAATACACCATGCTGCCCAAAAAAAATACACCGTAAAATTGACAAAATTCAACGAGATTTCCTGTGGGGTAGCAATCAAACTTCTAGGAAGATTTATTATATAAAATGGGACACTGTCTCATTGCCCAAGCATGATGGGGGTCTAGGGATAAGAAAATCCTTGGATAAAAACAAAGCGGCTATTACAAGCCTCACTTGGCGTTTCTTTAGTCATCCCACTACTATGTGGGCAACAATCCTTAATTTCAAATACGTTGGTCGATACTCAAATACTTCTCACTCCTTCATATGGAAAAACATCCTCACAGTATGGACCATTTGTAAAGATGCTATTGCATGGCATATTGGTGATGTTTCCCACTAGATTTTTGGCATGCAAACTAGCTGCCATGTATAAAAAGCATACGAAGCATGATCCAAGGTCCCCTAACATATAAGGAGTCAACTCTCAAGATTTCAAATATCTTCTCTAACAAAACATGGGACCTATCACAATTATCATTTGAGCTTTCATCCCATATTCTGATTGAAATCCAATCTTTCCAACCTATAAATATCTACAACCACACTGATACTCCGATTTGGGCACTCATCAGTGATGGTATCTTCACCACAAAATCTGTGTACCCCTTATCACCTCTAATGTAACTCACACCCAAAGAAATTTTTTTGATTGGCTTTGGAAATTAAAAACTTAGAATAAGCTTACATATTTCCTATGGCAATGCTATCATGATCGATTACCTACAAAAACCTTCCTGAATCACATTGGGATTGCCATTCCCTTATACTGCCCAGCTTGCCCCACCACTGAGGAAACATCTCAGCACATTTTTCTGCTATGCCCAATAGCAAAACAATTATGGGAGGCTCTAGGTGTGAGCATTCAATCAATTGACACCCAATTTGCCCACTGGCTGGACAGTCTTTACAAACAAAAACCACATATCGACTGCCATTCCTTGACATGGGATTGTCTTTTCTCCTTCACTCTCTGGCTTCTTTGGCTCAATAGAAATAGGAACACCTTCCATAATCTGTGCAACTCAGTCATGTCATCTCAAAAGCCATGGAATATTTGCATTGTAGTAATATCAACTGCAACAAACTAGACAGACATTTACAAGTCACTACCAAATGGGAACCCCCTACTATCCACCAACTGAAGCTAAATATAGATGGAGCTTTTAAGGGTAGATTTCAACAAGGAGGTATAGGTGGGGTGTTCAGAGACTCGACTGGAAATTGGATTCTAGGCTTTACTAAAACAACTACCGGTCCATCTCCTCTCTATATCGAACTTGAGGCATTATGCTATGGCTTACAACTAGCAGTAACTTACAAATTCACAAATTTTCAAATAGAGACAGACTCTGCCTCTATACCATCACTAATTGAATCTAAATTTTCCCCACTCTATAATACACTTATTTCTAAATGCAGGTACTGGCTGAAGATGTTGGGGAATCCACCAATCCTACACAATTTCAGGGAAGGCAACAAGATAGCACATGAACTGGCACAACATGGAATCCAGCAAGCTAATGTCTACTATAGTCAGACATATTTAGAAGTCCCCGACTACCTTAGAGATGATGTGCGGGCTGATAAAGAAGGAATTAATGTCACTAGGACTAGCACCACTAATATTATCGTGTTAAATAACCTGGCTATGCTGGGAAACCCTCTAATGTCCTCTTTTGGTTGTAATGCTACTTCTACTAGTATGCCTACGTCTGCTCCCAATGGGAGGACTAGGCCATGTAACCATGCTACTTAGTAATGAATAAAATTTTTTTCCCTGCCAAAAAAAAAAATGTATAAAACTTGTCTAATATCTATAGAACTTAGCAACATAACGCAAGCTTTCTTCAAAATAACACCTAAAATATTTGATGACATAAGATGTACTGTATAAAATTTGTCTTATATCTGTAGAACTTCGCAACATACCGCAGCTTTCTTCAAAATGCTATTGAACTTTTTAGGTATTAATAATAATTGTTGTTATTATCAAGAAACGGCTTCCGTGAACTAAGGGGTCGTTTGGTAGGAGGTATTAGAAAAAATAATGCAAGCTTTAGCTTTATGTATTACTAATACCTTGTTTGGTACATTTTTTTAACCTGTGTATAACTAATACTTGTATTAGTTATACATCATACTTGGTATTATCCTATGTATAAGTAATGAATAGAAAACCATGGCATTAGTAATACCAAAGCTATTAATGCATGCATTAGAATAGTTAAAGACAAAATTATCCTTAAAATCCCTTAAAGCTAGAGAATATGGAGGCACTTTTGTAAATAACTAGTTTTCTTAGAAATTATGCAATGCATTATAATTTTAAAACACTACACCAAACAGTAGATAAGAAATAATATCTGCATAACTAATGTTTGCATATTACTTACCCATGCATTACTAATACACATTATTCCGCACTATTTTTATACACCCTACCAAATGACCCCTTAATTCATGCATTAGTATGATTAAAGACAAAATTGTCCTTAAAGTCCCTTAAAGCTAGAGAATATGGAGGGCATTTTTGCAAACAATTATTTTTCTTAAAAATTATGCAATGCATTATAATTTTAATACACCACACCAAACAATAGATAATAAATAATATCTGCATAACTAATGCTTGCATATTACTTACCCATGCATTATTAATACACATTATTCCGCACTATTTTTATACATAGTAATAGTCACAATCTCATATATAATAATATAATGTTAAATCATTAGAAAGTTAACTGTCAATTCCTGTTGAAGGCTCAAGATCACTGGTAGAAACGATAACATTTCTATTTAGTTTAGCGTAATCTGTACGCATATTATTCTTCAGAAATAACCTGATTTACCACTCAAATTAAAAGTTAGTTATATTTTTAAAAGTAATTAAAATTTAGTCATTTTTTTATATAAAAATAAAATTTGAACAAAAATACTATAAAATTTCGACAATTCCAGCATAATAGGTTGAGTTCAAACTTTTTATATATAAGGTTCTAGCATAATGTGCTCAAATTTCATGATATGCTGGAGTTCCAACATAATATGCTAAAAGTTTATACGCAAGAACTCCATAATCCAGTATATTATGCTGAAACTTTTCGTGTTTCAGCTAGATTTTATCTCTGCATAAAATAGTGGCTATTTTTCAATGACTTTACAAATTTTGGCTATTTTTCAAGTATCAACGCGAAAACTGACTAGGTCATGTTATTTTCATATTATTCTAAGACGAACAATTTCTGAGTATTATTCTAACATGAAAAATCAGAAAATAGCTAGATTTACAACTGGTAATTGAAAAATAGCCACAATTTCAAAAGATAAAATCTGAACAAAAACGTACTTAAAAATTCGAAAAAATTCCAGCATAATATGCTGGAGTTCGAATTTTTAACATATGAGATTCCAGCATAATGTGTTGGAATATCTAAATGTATTGGAGTTCCAACATAATATGGTGGAAGTTTATACGCAGGGCCTTCATAATCCAGCATATTATGCTGGAACCTTCCGTGTGCTGGAGTTCCAACATAATATGTTGGAAGTTTATATCCAAGAGCTCCACAATCCGACATATTATGCTGGAACTTTCCGTGTTTCAACAAAACAATGGCTAATTTTTAATGACTTTGCAAACGCTGGCTATTGTTCAATTACCAGTCCGAAAACTGGTTAGCCCGTGCTATTTTCACGAACTTAATCACAATGAATTGGTATTGCTTATATAAGGCTTAGGAATTAAGTGAAATAAATCTAAAAGCAATATTGCCGAGTATTAATTCAACGTGAATGTTCAGTATTAAAAGTTTAAAAAATTTAAAAAGATTATAATAACTCATAAAAAATAAAATATCTAGCATTTTTTTTATAATTATAGAAAATGCAAATGTTCAAGTTATTATGAGTTAAAAATAAACTATAACATCTTATCTTTCAATCAATTAAGAAATCACAATAAAAAAATATTATCAAACTACACATTTTACCTCCCTAAAAGTTAATAATTCGAAACTTCATTAGTACTATAATTTAAATTATTGGTATTTTTTATGAGTGAATATAAAATAGCTTACAAATAGCAAAATAATAAAAGTTTGACAATTTTCAGAGACATAGAACTAAGATATGACGAGTTACAGTAAATAAAGATATAAATTTGGGCTATATATTTTCAGAAGAAATATTCATTTGATATTCACCCTACTTATACGTAAATATATAAATATGTAATACTATGACTCCTTATTTTGAATTACTCTCAATCTTCATATTTAGATGAATGAATAGGACTTTAGTCGTTTATTTGTTAAGGAATTTTGAGTTTCGACAAAGCTAATTAGGGAATTCGACGCATGATTTGTGTTAGGAACTGTTAGGCGACCACCGAACGCAAAGCATTGGGCGTGTTTAGGACGCTTAGTCAAGTGCATGGGGCGTAAGCCTCACAGAACTTAGCCCCACACGTAAGCCTCATGGCGTTTAGTAGTACCCCGCCCCGGAGCGAGTCCCAAAAAAACCTAAAACAGTGGTTGTTACTTCTCAACCTTCGAGTTAATTCAGAGGGGCATTTAGTTTAGGTGCATACAAATTGGCTTTTTGGTGCCTCTAACCGCTTGATCAAAAAACATAGAATTTTCAAAAAGAAAAATCAAATATAATTTATATATAGAAGTATCTAAATTTGTTTCCATAATTGTTCAGATTTCCTTACAGACATAGTTCAAGAATCGAATCCAATACACTACAATGCAAATCTCCTTGCCGCGTATAGGGAACGGCCCAACCAGTTTGTTTAAACTCCTTATTTTCTATGGAAAACTAAATCCATATATATATAAACCTACATTAATGAAACCTTCCCCTAGAAGAAAGTTTTCAATGGATGAAAACGATTGGGATTTGTGGGCAATTGTGAGGAGTTGCTACAACGTCAACAGAGCTATTCCTGATGACGATGTGAGAAGTTGCAACAACGTTAATACCACTGCTCTTATCGATCACTGCGTCGATCAGGATGGTAATTCTGCTGCTAACACAAACACACCAACTTTATTTCCAGAACAAAGTGATTGGTTTGGTGATTTTAGCGACTCGTTCCCCACGGAGAACGAGCATTGTTTTGGGTTAGATGAAGTTTGCTGCCTTTCCAAGAATGCGAATACCAATTATACAATTGAACCCCACAACCCAGAAAACAAAACTGAAACTATTCCAAACTCTCCACTTGTTGTAGAACATGAGGAGAAGAAGAAGAACAAGAAGGTAAGAGGTTCAATGCAATTATCAAGAACTGAAGAAGGCAAGGCGTTTTCTTATCGTGGAAAGAGTACAGAAAGATATGAAATATTGGCTGAGAAATTGAGTGAGGCGGATCAATGGAGATGGAGAAAGTATGGGATGAAGAGAACGGGTAGTTCGCCCTTTCTCAAGAGCTACTATAGGTGCAATGAAGTTGAAAATTGTCCAGCAAGAAGACATGTTCAGCAAAGCTCAACGGATGCAAACAAGGTGGTAGTAACTTATAGAGGCCAACACATTCATCACCCTCCTCCTAACCAACACATTGCAATGGTAGACACAAGCCAAAATGCTAATGCACCAGTGCAAGACCCTTCTTTTCCCTCTTCTACTTCTACTTCGTTATTCAACTAACAGCCAAGTTTTTGCAAGAGATAGAAAGATTGATTTTGTGCCTTAGTAAGTCAGTCAGGATTGTTTCTAATTTGTACTGTGCTTTGATTACACTGAATGACCCTCAGTTTTATATTGCATATTGCAAGGGGGCTGTTGGAACTGAAGTAGGATCTTCTTCTAATGGGAATTTCTAGTGCTATTACTTTCTTATGGTAATTAAACTTTTTCCTTGACATCTCTATGATTTTTCTAGAATCATTAGTATCTCCTTTGTTCCTAGAAGCAGCATGAAGATGTTAGAACGTCCCACATTACTTACCAAAAAATAAATAAATGTTAGAACGTCCCACATTGGTTCAGGGAACGGGTTGTTATCTACTAATATGGTTTTGGGAAACCGTCTCATGAACTAACTTTTGGAATTGAGCGCCCAATGCCCATTTTCTTTATAAGGAACTAGTCATAGCTAAACAGATAGTCAGAAGCAGGTAAGCTGAATCAACTATACAAAACATAAAGGCCAGCCAACCTTTTTGTGTTTTTCTATGTCAGTCAGTGCACAGCTATCTGATTTAGCATATCTTTCTTTTAAAGGGAATGAAAAATTCATTATATCTTTGGTTTACCTATGCTATTTAGTGGATATGAAGAGATGACTGAGAGTCAACAAACTTGAACTTGCACTAAAAAAAAAGAAGAGAGAAACTCATAGTAATGACGAGGCATAAGCCTTACTTATAAGACAGATGTACCAAATGTCATAACTTCTTCATACTTCATTCAAGGACAAAAGTCAGCAATCACAAGAAAACCCTTTTAAAGGGCTCTCGGCTTGAACTTAGGGGCACAAAGAGTGCACTCTCTCCCACAAGTATACCCTCCTCCTTCCTCCTCTTCTACAACTAACCTCTCCCGAGTTTTAAAGGCACTGCAGCCAGAGCCAACTCAGTCTTGGATCTACCGGCTTAATGCCTAGTGATTTCACGAAGTGTCACTGTGCAAGGGTGGGATTAAGAGCTTCAAGAAGCTTTGGTAATAGGAAATCTAAATAATCATAGCAAGCCGTCTGGCAGGCTCAACCCTTGGTTTCCTGTGACACCAAGAGAACTGGCTGATGCAGACATAATCAAAAACCTAAAATGTTCCCCTAAGGTTGGCATCTTAGCATGCAATCTAGAGCGACCGTGTCCCACAATCAACTCGGATTCATTGCAGAATTACCCCAAAAAGTATCAGGGGCTCTTCAAAAACTGTATACTGTCCAACGAGAATTGGGAATACGGATAAATTGAAAAAAATGTATAGACAATTGTTAACTAACAGAGTTGCGTATCAATAAATTTTACTATGAAATAAGAGATGGCAGAAATATTCAATTGAGCATTTGCAATTTTTTCAGTATGGAAAGTTCTGTACAGAGATATATATAGATAGGATAAACATTACTTACATTAAGTACTAGAGATAAAGAATCAATAATGAATTGGTGCCGGTCTACCAATTCTCTTTAACGATTTTCGATTTCTCAAGTATGAATTTCCCTTCCTTGTACTTCTGTGTTTGCTCATAAGCTCGTTCATATTTCCAGCCCAAAACCTCATTGCAATCCCCACAGTATACATCAGCAACAGTATGAAGACCAGTCATGAGATGTCTGTCTTCTTTAGCTCCAACGTTAATATTCATCACATGAGTAAACAGAAAAGCTCTCCCATTTCTTCCCTGAAAAGCAATGTTTCTTTTCTTTGGACGATTCTCAACAAGATGAACGCAAGTAAAACTAACTATATTAAAATTATCTGACTCTTGAAGTGCAAAAGAGAATTAGTTCTTCCTTTCCCATTATTAGCTTAATGTTAAGACTTGACTATTCTAGGACTAAAAGAAAACAATAATCATTATTTATTACATCCCATGAAGGCTGAAGTCAAGAAGTGGTCAAAACTATCAATAAGAGTGAGCTAATTCACCTTATTTTTCTTCATTTCTCATTTAGTTTTTCCTTAACTACGAGCGATGACCGTCCTTTACTTTGAGTTCAAGACAAATGAGGGATTTATTGAATAAAAATCATCTGAAAACACCAATTACAAATTAACAAAAATTGGGAACTAGTAGTGAGTAATAAGAGATAGGCACAAAGTTTGACCTCTACTCATTCCGAATAGAGTCATTGCAAGTATAGTAAATAATTTTGATGTTCGCGTGAAAAAATATTATTGCGACTTAAACCACCATAATCATGTTTCAAGAATCATCCATATACAAAACACTAACAGAAAAGTACAGTATCTAGACATGAGAATAACTAAAAGTTAACAAGGCACATACGGAATCAATTACCTGAAACGCCTTAGAGACTATATCATCATGAAGAGATACATGATTGTGACATTTATAGCAGCTGTACAAACGAGGTCCGACCAATTCATCCATTCAACAAAAGTCCAATGATAAATCCCTCACTGATCACTTACCCCAGAAACCCAAATGACCAAATCCTACAGGAAAAAGTTATACAAAGGAACTCAACAAAGGTAAGAACTTTAACTAATGGAGTAAAAGCTAAAGCATAATCCATCAATCTGCAGAGAGAAAGTAAAGAAAAAAAAACAAAAAATTACCTTAGAAGAAATGCAGACGACCCAGAATTCTGCTCTAAAGGATAATAACAACCCCGGATAGGTTTAACTTGCACGGCCGTGATAATAACTTTTATACGGAATTGGGTGAAAGTATCAATCACGAAACTTGGAAAAATAATTAAGCTGCTTTGACAAAGACAGGATTACTTTTCATCAATTAACAATACATACAAATTACAAATCAAAATAAAATATTAGTCAAGTAAAGAAAGCTATCTAACCAATTACAACAATACAATATGTAGGATATGACAAGAATCTGAGCTGTAAAAACCAATTCAAAACCATCACTGAGGACAATTATGTTAAGAAAAAGCAGAAATGGAAAGAAACTGAGAAAAGGCTTTTTATTCTTTGCTTGGACTCACCCACCAATACGAAAATCAGATACCAAAGAAATATATACTACTATTTTAATGCTTTGAATATTATACTAACCTGTTCAGCGCGCACTCATGTCCACACTTGCCATTCTTGATTAGAATTAAAGGGTCAGTTAATTAAGAGGATATGCTCCTGGTTTTGAGCTGATTTTGTTAGAAGAGGGATAGTTCACTGTTGTATACAGCAGTTGAGTCATATCGTGGCCGCCCTGCCGCCCTTTGATTTTGGGTCGAATCTTTATTGGGCTGACCATCTATTTGATGGGTATTACCCATGAAAAAGCCCAACAATGGTCCCATTCAAGTGTTTTCTTTCTATTTTAATAATTTATTTAAAATATTTTCTAGTGTCCCAAGTTGATTATCATTTAAATTTTGAGTTGCTAAAAATTATTGTTTGCAATCAATTTTTAAGATATGAAAATAAACTGCAATCACAAAATAAAATAAAAAATAATTTTACTAATCAATTGTATTTCTCGAATGTAGGATGATGCAGACCTCATGAGGATGTATTTGATCTCCAGCTTCTTGAACTATTTAATTGTCAAGAAGCATCCAGCCATATTTTGATCTCTTTGCGAATATCCAAGAGTTTATGGGATTTTTGAGATACCTCTTCAAGGGAATATGCATCTCTTTAGATAGGTGTCAGTTTGGGTTTAGGGTAGAATAACTTCTAAGCAACCCTAATAGACTCTTAGGATTTCAAGAGGTAAAAATAGTATGGGCTAGCCTGTTTTCAGACTGGTCATTCAAAAATAGCCAGCATTTGCAAAGTCATTGAAAAATAGTCACTATTTTGCTGCAACACGGAAAGTTCCAGCATAATATACTGGAGATCGATGCACCTGTGTATGAACTTCCAGCATATTATGCTGGAACTCCAACACACGGAAAGTTCCAGTATAATATACTGGAGATTGGAGCGCCGGTGCTCCAATCTCGGACTGGTATATTATACTGGAACTCCAGTATAAATTATACTGGAGTTCCAGTATATTATACTGAAATTCTAGTATATTATACTGGAGTATTTTCCGGATTTTGAACAGTGTTTTTTCATTCAGATTTATCTTTACATGAAAAGTGGCTAAATTTTGATTGCTTTTGAAACTGTGGCTATTTTCGAATGGCCACTTGTAAATCTGGCCATATTTTAATTTCTCCCTTTCAAAAGTCTTGTGGTATCTTGAATTTAGAATTTAGCTTGATTCGTTAAAATTTCGATATCTACTGTTATATTTACTATTTTTTTTTTAAAAGGTCTACAATAAATATGTCAAATAAATATGTCATATCTGAAAGGACATGAACTTATAAGATGCAAAGTTCTACCCGAAGCCTATTGGTCCACCGAAAGAAACAAGTTGTGTTGATCCATAACCCCACTGAAATTACTTGACCAAACGAAGATCGTCATTTTCAGCTAAATTTCAGATCTTATACCTCATGGTCCACGTCAGGACAAACGGACAGGTTGGGTCGGATATAAGACGGGTCGAAATCGGGTAATAAAAAAATAAATAAACTATCCGATTCAACCCATATTTAATATGGATAAAAAATGGGTTTAACGGCGAATAATATGGGTAACCATATTATCCATGACTTTTGGAATTGATCACTTTTGAGAGAATTCCTGGTCTCCCAAACTTGAGGAACCTCCAATTTGAGGCTTTATAAATATAAAAGTTAAACTCATTAGTTCTCCATTTTCTAAATGGATAATATAGTTATTATCCATATTTAACCCGTTTTTAAAAAAAAAATTATCCAACCCAATTTTAATTGATAATATGAATAGTTAACTATTTTCTTTTAACCATTTTATCACTGCTATCCACATATAGTCAGACTTCCAAGTCCCAAGGTTGCTTAAGATGTTAGATTATCCACATGTTTAAAGTAAGATATGGCATATAATTGACTATACCACAATATATATCAAATGAAATTAAGGCAGTTCTTGTATGATTATGCTTGCAATTAGACAAACTGCTTCTTGTATATAAAAGGCAGAATGGCCTAAATGACATTTATACTTGTGCCACTTTGTCATCCCGGTCCCCAAACTTGATGAAGTTTCATTTAGACACCTCTACTCGTTCAAAAGTAATCTTTTAAACTCCTCTGACCATTGACCAAGTCTATGTGGCAACTTTATCGCTGAACTGGACAAAATCGTGTATTTCACGCATATAAGGAGCGTGAACGTAAAAAATTTATGATTAAAATAAGGAAAAAAGAAAAAGAAAAATTCGAAAAATCAAATTAGAAAAGAAAGAAAAGGCCAAATAGATGATTTTTCTCTTTCTCTTATGTTTTGTCGCCCACCAAGGACCCCCCCCCCCCGTCTCTGTCTCCTCCCTCTTCACTTTGCTCCTCTTCCCACTT